GAGAGAGAGAGAGAGAGAGAGAGAGAGAGAGAGAGAGAGAGAGAGAGAGAGAGAGAGAGAGATGGTAGCAAAGCCGCAACAGGTCATCTAGTGCCATTTGAAATACAGTCATTCCTGGAGTCTGAGGCATGTTTTGACTCTTGGTGATTGGAACTTGTAATCTCTCTCTAATTGGCATCTACAGCATATATAACTACGTGGTGATGAAGTGGCAGTCACTGGAGGAGTGCATGGTAATGACAGTCAATCCAAAGCCTTTGAAACAAGAAACTGGACTGATGAAGAGAGCTGCCGATCCTCCCAGCCGAATTCAGCAGGCAGCACTGCGTCAAGCGGAGCATATTCGTTCTCAAAGCCCCCAGGTGAGGCATCTAATAAGAGGCTTCATGTGTTCGTCTGACAGAAATGTTGATCTGGTTTCTAAGAACTCTTTTTTTTTTATCAGCATTAGAACCTGTTTCTGTGTGCGCGCTTGCTTGAGAGAGAAAAAATGGCTGGTAAATGTCATTGAATGAAAAAGATCTACAAAGGTAAAACCGTAAAACTGGCTGCAAATGTTACTAGGCCTGTGAATATCTTACTGCCTGCATGTGTGGTTTGGATAGTACCAAGTGATAATCGATGTTATCAAGTGCAGAACTTTGCCGTCCTCCAGACCCCTGGATGGAAGAACTTTATTTGAAATCAAAGTTAAGTTAGTCAACTGCTTTCCCCCCCCCCCAAAAAAAAAAAAAAAAAAAAAAAATCCAATACCGGCTCTGAATTTTTCTCTGACATAATTAGTTGTAAGTTGTAACACTTTTCGCTGACGTGTTCTTCTGCTTGTTTTGTTCTGTCGAATGCTCATTGATGTCGCCTGGTCTAATGGTTATGCAGTTGAGGATGGCGCTTCAGGTCGCACCAAGGACAGGCTCTAAGCCTGATTCTGGAAGGTAGGAATCTCTTGAGCGCTGTCTTGTGGTCATGTGTTGGCATGTCTGTTAGAATCCTGATGCAGTGGTCGCTCAGTTGGAGAACAGTGATGCATGTATGTCACACCTGACATACATGGTATAGAAAACACACGAAATGTGTGTTTGCCTTTTCATTTTTTCTTTACACACCTTTCATAAATGGAATGTAAATGGCGGCGTACTCGGGCTTGGCTGGTGATTTCTATATGTACATTACTACATTCTTACCACCAACGATAATGAGAAAAGCTACGATTTGATTCAGCTAATTTATGAAGATCATCTCTTTTTTTCTAGCAAATCCTTGTTTTTTTTAAGCATCCTGTATTTCAGCAGATAAAGATTGATCTAAACTTGATTGCATCAAGATCTGAACTCGTGATTTGTTCATCAAGAGCTGTATGTATGTATAATTCAGCCACAAGGCAGGTACTTGTCACACGCGTATATTTCCGTGCTGCTTGCACAATGCTCTTTGACGAATTACCTTTAGAATGCCTTTGTGCGAGGATTCGTGTCCTCGGCATGCCGGTGAGGAGCTCCCCGCTGCAAGCATATTGCCGCCCTAAGTGAAGGCGGGCCCCGTATCTCAGAGAGGCGTGAATATTATTTGCCTGCCTTGGTGGGTGCCAAACAGTTGCCACGCGCCAGTTTGTTACCTGTGCCCTGCTCGCAAGCATCGGAAGCACCGTGAGCCTTCCAGGCTCTTCCACTCTTGATTTGGAAGCTGGCCTCTTGGCCAATCAGAAAGCAGGAACACCTCGCTGGGTGCTGGGTGGTTGGCCGCACCTAAGTGCTGCGGGCCCAGGCCACTGTCTAAACAGGCCTGGGTGCAGACACTTTGGCCCAACGTGAAGCTACTGGAAGCACGGGCCTCCCAGCCAAACAGCCTGGAGGCCAGGCCGCTTTCCATATAGGAAAGAGCCTGGCCACGAAGGAGGCATTCGGGCACTTGCGTGCAAGGCGGCAGCGCTGCTGGAGCAATCACTCGCGGCTGCTAGCGCTAAGTGCCTGGTCGAGCGCGGTCGCAGGGAAGTGGGCATTGTATGGACGCAGCGCCAGAGCTCAGCCTCCATAGCCGGGCTTGAGCTCGAGGGTGATCAGCGGGGTAAGGTGGTGGTCTTCGGGATTTGGGAAGAAGCTGTGGTAGTAGCCAAGGGTGGGCACTGAGAGAGCGAAGGAGAGAGGTGATGTGATAGCACGTACCTGGTCCTGGCGGAGGTCTGCATGGTCGACGTCAGCACATACTTTGGTCGCTGCCGGCTGATGTCAACTGGTCGCTTTGTCATTTCTGTAGGCTAGCGTAGCAGCTGCAGGATCGTAGTCTGGGCGCTGAGCCCCAGTAGGAGGAAGAGCTTCGACTGTTGGTAGCGAGAGAATGCTTTCATCGGCAATTGAGTTTGCTGCTTTGGTTCTCCTTTGGTGTGATATCAAAGGACTTTCTGGAGAACCAAAGGAGAACCAAAGCAGAAATTGCATTTCTGCTTTCCGGAAAGCTTACGACTATCTGACTTTCAATGTGATGTAATGTAATTCGGATTCTGTCATTTCGCTATTGCTCATTTTCCTTGCATTTGTAAATCGTGTGCCATGAATGCTGGCTTACATATGCCCTTCAGCCTCCCACCCTTGTTTGATGGATGGCTCCGAGCGTGCCTTCGTATAATGGTCATGTATGGCTCAGTCTGGAAGGGGGTACCGGGCCCGAAACGACAGGTTAACATTTTTGGTTGGGCGTCTGGGACCCAGGGACTTCTGACAAAAAAAAAATCATTGGCTGAGGATCGTCTCCTGATGTTCCGAAATGGATGCCGAGCCCATACACCCTGATTTGGTTGGTCCAGATCCGGACATCCTGCGGGTTACCATGATCTGGGTGTTGATAATGTCATGCATCATTTTTTTTTGCTGAAGCCCTCTGATATAGCATGGAGGAGGTTGAAGAGAGACCTGGTGGGACATGGAGAGAAAACTTAGTTTTTTGGAAAGACAAGGGGATGGCTTGTGGATAGGACAATCCTAACTTCCTAAGTAATGTTCAGGAATTGACCTCTGTACAATTTTCTTTTTGGTCGAGTACGATTGTAGGAGTCCAATCTTTGCAACGTTGTGTGCCCTGCTCCAAGTTTATTTTCCAGGGACATTGGAAATGTAATTGGCTTTTGCGGATTTGGAAATATGGTTGCAAACAACCTAACTGTTTATGTGTGTTTGTGTGCAATTCGCTTTGTTTGCATTTGGCATCCTCCTGTGTGGCTGTCATTGCATGTCCATGTGTGTGTGTGTGTGTGTGTGTGTATGTGTGTGTGGGTGTGCATCCACATGCGTCTGGGTTTGTGAAAGTGCATGCCGGCATTCGGGTGCATTAGGGTGCGTGTGTGTGTGTGTGTGTGTGTGTGTGTGTGTGTGTGTGCGTGGGCGTGTGCCCGTGCGTACACATACATGCATCCATCTGGTTGTCAATCTCCATTTATTGGTATGCAGGCGGGTGAATTGTCCAAGTTTTGTCAGTCCTGAGGTAATGAGGCCCTTAAGTGGTGAAGGACACAGTTTCGGAACTTCTGGTGGCAATGGCAGTGGTGGTGCTAGCAGCGCTAGGCGCTCCCTCGTGTCTGCAAACAGGGCGGCATTAATTGAGCAGAGTCGGGGCAGTCTATCTGATTGCAGCCCAGTGCGCTCTCGGGCAAATTCCGTTGTGATGACAAAAGCGCGTCTGAGAAGAACAAGGGGTGGCAGTGATGGTGTGGAGCAGAAGGTTCTTGACACTGTGGCTTTTGATGATCACAGACGACTTGCGCCTTCAGGTTTTGTTATCCCTGAGCGAGTGGGCCGAAGTGAGCAACCAACACAACCACCCTGGGCATTGGGGATCCCACAACCAGTGCCCTCTAGTCCTAGGAGTTTGTACAGTGATGCAGTGCCAGAGCAACCATCCATTCCTGGTGACACTGCATCTCCCTGCTCATCTCGTTCTCGATCACCCTCTTTCTCGTCTGTCTCCTTCTCCTCCCACTTCGCCTCTCCTAATGAGACATCGTCTTCCTCCTCAACAGGTTCTACGCCAGAGAGGAGACGGCCTTCCATCCCTGCACTGAGATTATCAGTTCCGCATGTGGTGTCAAGGTCGGCGCCTTCCGTTCCTCAGTCTTTCTCTCGGAGTCAGCCAACTTTCTCTTCTGAACTAGGTTCATCAATGGCATTGAGGACAGCAGCATTTCCGACTAGATACACACCTCAGACAGCACATATTCACATGAATCCTCTTCATACAACATAAGACCATGTGCAACAGTTCTTTAATTGCGCAGCAGAAGTCTTTTACTTGCAGAATGTGGTCCAAATACCCTCCGTTCCTGTCTCCCTAGCTGTGTGACTCCTCCCTTTGTCCCTCTCTCCCTTGCTTTCTTCTTTTCTTTCCCCCTTCCATGCTCCCTCCTTTGATCCTTCCCTTGTTCCATTGATCGCTCTTTGTGGTACACATATATTTTCTTGTCTCGTTTCCAAAATGTCCCATCTATATCTCTCACCCTCTCCTACACATGCACACGCTTGTGCACGCATACACATCTCCCCYCCTCCAGTCCTTGCCACCYCCCTGTATCCCCCCCCCCCCCCCYCCYCCCCCSGTTCCTTCCGTTCCTTCCTTCCATGTCGTAGACATATACTCTATCCAGGGTTCTATCACGGAATTCTCTCTCTCTCACGCTCTCTTCGACATGCGCACTCTTGTGCACGCACACGCATGGGTGTCAAATTGTCAATGCTGCAGTGTGGTTGCAGATGCGAATGTGTTTTCTGTGTGCATCTCGTGGTGATTCTGTCCGGTTATGTGCTCTTGTTTTTTCTATTGCAATGAACAATTGTCCTAGCAGTTTTGATCTAATGCTACTGCGGCACACTTGCAGGGGAGTGCTTGTGGGGTTATTTGTATTGTGCATTGGTGCTCTTGGATTTTGTGTCGATTGCATTAATGGGAGGTGTATCCAAGGTGTGGTTGCGGGTGCGAACGTGTTGGCCGTGTGCATCTCGTGCTGGCTGTCTCTCCAGGAATCAGTCATTATTTTCTTGGCACCAAACCACCGCCGTCTTCACCCGAATAGAACACCTGGGCAATATCGCTGCATCTGGGCTGAAATTTGCTCCAAGTACAGCTATAATGACTACACGTTCTATTCGGGTGAAGATGGTACACTCCGGGAATGTGGTTGTGGTTTCATTAAATTTGTTTGTGTTCTGCGTGGCTGCCTGGGCCTTTGGGGGTATTGTGTATGGAATCTATGGATATGGTCACAACTACCGTCTTCACCCGAATACGACGTACGGTCATTATAGCTGTTTCTAGACTGAAAGATGCCTCAAATACAACTATGATGACCGTACGTTGTATTCGGGGGAAGAAGGTAGTGGCTTTTAGTTGGAAGTCTGGGTGGTGATGTGGTGGTTTGGTTTCTCCTGAGCAAAGCAAGTTCTCTCACAGGATGGGCAGGTTTGCTTATGAGGTGGGTAATGTGTTGTTGATGCTGCATATTCCAGTGTGAAGCACAAGCTAGATTCTTGATGTGGCTGCACAGGATTAAACCAATAGCTTCTGCTGCATTCCAGCGATGTGGGTGGGAGCAGCAACATCCTTTTCTTTCGATCTGTGGAAATCAGAACTGCAAGTCTGATGCCGCTTGCTGCAGCTTTAATGTATTATGGTTTGATAGCTGTCACAAGGCTCGATTGACGTGTGATGCTTCTTCCTACTGTCTTGGCTACCTCGGTTGTGTTGTCAACGACCGCATATGCAGTGTTGTAATGTATCTGGCTCTTGTGTGGATTCTCAGTGCCTTGTTTGAAGTGGCGGAGGGCTTGTGCAGCGATGGCGAATGGCTAGTGGCGAATCGACATCAAGAAGGATCTCCGTATAGGTGACCGCCGACCAGCCACCTGCATCAAATGAAGGTTCGACGTTAACATTGAAAGCGCTTGGGCTGGTGAGATTCTGTGGTTTGTGAACAGTTTTGCATTCTAAGTTGGTGTTTGAACATAGGTATGGACAAGGAGGGTAGCAGGAGGAATGTCCTCCCTCAACAGTCAAAAGAAGGGCGAGTGGAGTTCGGAACGGGGCGTGTGAGGTGGTGGGTGCACTGCATGTAGGTAGGACGTGGGGTAATGCTATGGGCCACATGGGTAGTTGGTTTTCTCCGCCAATCTTCCCCTAGTGGTTTATGCTGTGGAAGGGAGTCCTAATCTTCCCATAGTGCTTTATGCTGTGGAAGGGAGTGTTAGACGGTCACACGGTGCATCATGGCTCCGACCCTCTCTTGCGCACGGCAAAGAGATAGTCCACCAGGAAAAAAGTGTCGACCCCACACTAGTAAATGGCCAGTGTGCATTGTTCACAGAGCAACGCGGCTCTCCCCTGGGCATCGCACAACAGCACACACGTCAATTTATGGCTTATGTACCGTAAGACGTTGGAGCTGGTTCATCATCTTGAATGGCATCTCGGAAATCCAGTGGCTTTCAGTTGCATGGGCTTCTTTGTACAGCTGCTGGGCTTGTACTGCTGCTCCTCGATGGCTTAGAATGTGGTGCCTTTCTCTGCCTCTTTCAGTTCCGGAGCACTGCTTGCCTGCTTTTGTACTTGCGACCGAGGGAGATGATGCCAAAGGACAAGGTGTGATATCGGTGGAGGAAGCCGCAGCTGGCTGTTCGATGGGTGATTCAGGCGGTGTCCCCAAGCTCCTTGGGAAATTTCTTCAGAAATCTGTTTTCAACGGTGAGGTGAGTGGCATGGGCTCTTAGCTGATGATTCCACACGAGTTGAAATTATATCCTCTTTGTGGGGAAGTTCTGTAACAGGGCTATGTTTTTTCCCGTTGTGGAGTAGAGTACTTTTTGATGACCAGGTGCCGGGTAGATATCATATCATCCTATGTATGTCCAGTGTTGACATGGTGCGCATGTTCACGTCTTCCTCTGCCAGGTACGTGTGGTCCCGGATCATTCGAAATTCCTTGCACATTTCTGTTGCCTCAAATCCCCTCTCTGTCTGTCTGATGGACTGAGCAGTGATGCTCACAAAAGGCAGAATGCCATCTCATTCCTAGCTCATATGGTCTCAGGATCCACTCAGCTCAACCCCGGCATGGAGTCGTCTCTTTTCTATCAGGACTCAGACCCATGTGTGTTATACTGTAGGGGTGTGCGGCCAAATAACACCTTTTGACCTCTGCCTGTCTATCCTTTGCTTTGTCTATTCCGAGGAGACGACCTCCTTGCAGGTAAGGAGGAATAACACCATGCATTTCCCCCTCTCTTTTGTCTATTACTTGTACCTCTCCTACCTCTCCTTCTCCTCTCCTACCTCTCCTTCCCTTTATGCTCTCACTTCTCTTGCTGCACCGATACCAGTTCGGTGTTGTGTACGATTCTCTCAGGGAGGTCTCTTTGGTCAACGCACAAGACGCACGAGTTCAAGCAGGCAGCTTGGTCTGCGTGTAAACCATGTGGAAGTTGTAGACGGTTGAGCGTGACAAGTGAATTGCAGTGCTGGAGGTGGGCAGTATAGGAGCGGTCGATGTAGGCCCTCGCTACTGCTTTCTTTGTCGGCCTCACTTGCTCGTCGTCAGTGGATTATGCGAGGGGAGTATGGATGATGGTTAACACATATGGACCCCTCTGCTGAGCGCGACGAGTGGTGAAAGATGATGAAATGTCATCAGGCACGACATCTCTGCACTGTGTTTGTTATCGACGCCACGCTAAGTAATGTGGCATGTAGGTAACTCTATCTTACATGGGATTCTGTTGAGTAGTTGTTTAAGTCTCAGACATTTGAGGAGGGATGCTCCGGAAATGGTCATGATAAGACCGTAGTGGGCAGCCAGAGCGCAAAGACGAGCGAGCGCTTGTGGTGCGGAAAGAGGGAAGGCTGAACTTGCCCGTTGTTACAGTGCACTGTGCAGAATTCAAGTGGGATATGAAGAGAAAGGTGTGTTAGCAGTAGCGAAATGATTGCTTGCTTGGAAGGAGTGTTTTCGCTTTTCAGAGCCCACTTCGATTCGGTAGTACACCACAACCAGGCATGCTCTTCTGGTTAGTAGACGGAAATCGACAAAGAGTTTCCCATAAGCAGACACACACTCGCGTGGAAATTGAGAGTATAATCTGTGTTGCCCACAGTATTGATAGCCCGGGCGCGGCAGGGTGTAGAATGAGGATTGTTGATAAGACGTGAACAACATGGAGAAATGGATGCAATGGGGCTCTTGCCGCCCTTTCCATCTGGAGGAGGTCAGATGTGGAGTAACTGCTTTGAGGAAGAAGGGCCTGCGAAGCTAGGCGAAAGGTTGTGCCTTTGGGAAGCGAAGTATGCACAGAGCGATCGATGGTTGGGACGGCCCTTTGCGGAGGGTGGTAAATGAAGGCAGGCGTAGCTGCAAAGCGAAACAGTGCTGGGCTTGCATTGGGTAGGATGCGAGTTGTACGGGTGCATTAGGATATGGATGAATGAGAGGGAACTAGACAAACAGTGGGGGACCGCTATTTCAGTGGTCGGGTGGACTTGCCTTCCTTTCGCTATCCTAGAGGGCATTCCTTTGGGGTTTTACGTACAGCCTAATGGTCGCACAGAGCCTAAGCGTGACACAGGATGGATGAGAGCTCTGGCGAAACGGTGTGCCGTATGATATGTTAGCAGCACAGAGGGAGTGGGAGCCGCCCTTCTCTGATCAGCGTTTTTTACCCCTCGACCAGCGCATGCAGCTGCTGTCTAGGGCGTTGTTCTCTGCAGCAGAATGAACTGTTACATTTTATAACGAAAGAGAAACAGAGCGATTCTCTTTTTTCCTAAGTACAGTCTCTAAGCCTGACCCCTGTTGAGATGTGATGTATGGAATCTCTCCCATTGGCTCTCTCTCAAGTAGTGTAAAACGACTCTGCTTGCTTCGACACATGCTGTGACTATGATAGTGAGATCAACCCTGCATGCTGTTAGAAGGAGAAGGGAAGCTTTTTAGGGAAATCTGGTATTCATCGTCATGTTTTACCTTTCGAACTGAGCAGCTATAAGAGTAAGGCGTGGAGTTGAAACACAGATCTTAGCCTGAAAAATGGATGTATGCCATGACCAGAAGAAGAGGAAGAGCAAGAAGACGCAAGGGTAGGGACATCACTTCGGCATCAGCAGGGATGGTTTCTGTGTTTTCCGATGGGAAGTAGAGATGCATATGTGAAAGTGGTTGGCTCAGATGTTCACGGCTTTGTTAGCCTCACTTGTCCTTTTAGTTCGCCTTGATTGTGCTTGATTCCAACGAGGGAGCGGGTTTTGCTCATGCCGTTGGAGATAGTGACTTAGATCTTGTTTGTCAATGCAGGTTATCAGCGCCGGCCCCCCTGAAGCGGCAACAATGCCTGCCCGACGTACATGTTCACAACCTCGGCGAAGAGTTCGAACCAGGTTATCGATGATAACCCCAATGGTTCATCACATGGCAAGAAGAAGTACGGACTGGTGTAACGCTCAGTTGGTGTACTCCTCAACTGTTGAAAAACAGACCAGGTGCAGAGTTTGAACTCCACTGGAAGCAGACGAGTGAAATACTGCTGAAAATGAGTCACCTCATGCTTCGATTGCCAAACTCGTCTGCTTCCAGTGGACTTCGAACTCAGGTCTGTTTTTCAGCTGGAGGAGGCTTTCCGTATCGGGTGTATGTTTACTGGCAGTGCCAATCATTTCTGGATGGCTGTTGACGACCTTTTTCCACGGTGTGACGGAGGCATTGGTGATGCAACAGAGAAAAAATTCTACTTTCTTTTCGAGCAGTGAGCACTTGCCACTGTACTGTCAAATGAAAAGAATCACGGACACGGTATGCATACTATGCATGCTGCTAATAAGGGAAAAAGTTCAGAAAACGTAAAAAAAAAAAAATGCATGGAAGAAGATTTGATTCTCAGAAAGATAATGGCACAAGTGTGATGTATATGGCTTCCCCTGCTAGGGCCAACCTTGATAGCGGTCCAGTAGTCTAGGCAGGCGCGGGCGAATGGCGGATCAGAGAGAGGAGGCCTCGGGGGTAGGGGTAGTTTAAGCCCCCCTTAAAATGTTCCACAGATTGTAGTCGTGCCCTCAATTTCATGGGGGATGAGTTCCCAATCTCTCTCTCTCTCTCTCTCTCTCTCTCTCTCTCTCTCTCTCTCTCTCTCTCTCTCTCTCTCTCTCTCTCTCTCTCTCTCTCTCTCTCTCTCTCTCTCTCTCTCTGATTTTGGATCCACTCGTCTGGACGGAACAGGGGCAGGGGATGGTGCGGTGAAAATAAAATTGATAACACAGTGAAAAACATCATGTGTATGTACACACACGTACAGCCTTGTATGTGAGAGGAACAGTTACAGGGGAGCTGGGGGGAAAAAAAAAAGGAGGAGGGACCCCAAAGACAGCCAAAGTAAAGGTGGTTAAGAAAGGGTATGTAACAGATCTATTGTGTTTCATGTTGCTTGCTATAGAGGTAAAACTGTTCGATTGTTGGATTGTTGGATTGGCTCATCTCTTGCGTGCTTCGTTGTCAGCAATAGAGGTGACGCTGCTTCCATTTCGGATCTAATTATCTGGGTGGAACAGGGGCCATAGTGGTGACAGTTTCACGACACAACCACCTAAGCTGCGCTGGAAAAGCCCAAACCGAATCCCAAACCTCCTGACGAGTCGGTGAAAGTCCGACGAAACAATCTGTTCGGTACAGTCATGCTTGTTTTTAGTGTATAGCAAATATGACAACACACACACACACACCCAAAAAAAAAAAAAAAAAAAAAAAAATCTACTGTGTGGACTGTCCCCGATGGCATCACCTGCCGCATCCACTCCGACCATGTCCCACATGCAGCGTTGGGCATATATACCTGCTGCAACCACAGGCGGATCCCTTTCATCCTTGCCAGATGAACGACAGATGCAGCGGTCTGAGTTGGAAATTTGGAAACAGACTTTCACATGAACCACATACGGTACGCCGAATTGAAAAATGTATCTCGACGCCAGGGCAAGCGGTTGCCGTGCAGAGACCAAATCCTGCAACAGCAGCATCTCAACACCTGTACTTTGGATCAGCTCTCGTCCTTGCATGCCAATAGAGAGGGGGAATAATGACTGGGAAGTTGGTGGAAACCCAAGAAAAATGCTCAAAGCCTGCGCTGTGATGGCCCACCTGAGATCGGGCTAGCATGTGCTTCAGAAAAATGCTCAAAGCCTGCGCTGTGATGGCCCACCTGAGATCCGGCTAGCATGTGCTTCGCATGCTTTTGTTGCGTATGTAATATGTATGATGACAGTCAACATGGCACTCGTGTACGGCACCGTGACACGTCGTGTCCACTTTGTAGATGGGCCACCGTGACACGTCGTGTCCACTTTGTAGACGGGCCACCGTGACACGTCGTGTCCAATTTGTAGACGGCTGCGGTCGGCATGCCTTTGTGTTCCTAGCATGTAGGAGCCATGTAGCCTGCGACATCTGTCTGCACCGTGCCATTCGATGTAGAGACTGCAACTGCGAGAATCGGATGTGGTGCGTCCACAGTCTACACCCGAACCGGTCCTTTCTTGTCTATGGGGGTGCTAATTACCCTATGCATTGGCTGCTGCTCAACTCAAAATATCCTGCAACCCGAACGCTGACTGGTCTCTTGTGCCATTCTGGAGAAGACTGCTTCGGTGGTTAATATCGAGAACTCTGTTCCCCTGTGGTCCATTCTTTGCCCCTCCCACTTTCTTCCGATTCTCCTCCTCCCTCCCCCCCCTAGGGCCTCTTCGACTTTCCTTCCTCCCTCTTCTGTGCTACTACTAAATGTGCATTCAGATGAGCAGACAAAATATGAGCCAAAGATCTGATGAAAAAATGAACAGGAGTATACCTCCCTTTTTACTCTGCCCTCCTTTCATAACGGGCAAGGGGGGCGTTATGGCACACATGGATGTGGGCAGCTGGTTTTTAACCACAATCAACATGGGCTGCCTTGTGTGTAAGAGGCACGGTGACAAGGGAGCCGCAAGGACGAATATAGATGTTGATAATATATAAGCAGAATTCAAAAAAAAAATAAAAAATTAAAGGGTACGCAGAAGAATGCTAAGGTACTTTGTATTGCAAGAAAATGAAAAAAAAAAAAAAAAAAGCCAAGGTAACGGTAATCAAGAAAATGTTATAGCGGGGACGTATTGTGCTTCGGTGTTGCTTGCCATAGATGTAAAACCGTTTCGTTGTTGGATTGGATTCATTTTTTTTTCTGCTCGTCTGGGTGAGAGAACAGGGGCTGTTGTGGTGAAGATCTACAGCTTATGCGGTGAGTGTGTCGAGTGGGTTCTACTCCGCTGCGAGGCCAATTTCTGAGACCTACTGGCATTCTCGCTACCAACTTCACCCGACTAGAACGTCCGGTCATTAACGCTGCATCTGGACTGAAAATCGCCCCAGATACAGCTGTAATGACCGGGCGTTCTATTCGGGTGACGATGGTAGGGGTTTGGACCAGCGGTCTGCTAGAATTGCAGGGTTGGTGTGAGTAAAGGCCATCACTCCTCTCCAGGGTATCGCTAACTCTGGACAACGCGGTGAGTCGATGAGTTGTATGCATGCATCAGTCCAATGCATCCTCGGCAGACTCACAGTTCAACCTCCTCGTGAATTTTTTGTTTTTGAAAGTTTACAAAACAGTCTGGCACTGTCATGTTTTGTTTTGAGGAGTTGTGTGTGGCGAACATGACGATACACACCTTGGACTTGGAGTCGATCAGCGAAATAACCTTTCCCAATCTGTGCCTCGCGCATGATTTGCTGACCCTCAATCTCGGATCTGCATAAGAGTCCCCCTCATAAGTCGCTTGCAAGTACAACAATTGCATCTTGCTGTTTTAGCTATGCTCTCCAAGGCATGATCATCAAGTCTCTGCGCAGTAACAGCAATGAGCTTTATGAAGAACCTGGTGTACAACGTTGCTGGAGCGTGCAAACTGCCGAGGAAGTCATTTTGAATCTCAAGCAGAATGCAGTCTCCCGCCGTGCTCTACACAACACACAGCAGATCTCCATACAATGTGTGTTGTTAACCTGCCCTAAATCATGCCCTACATTTTGTTCATGAAGGACACGATTAGGTAGTCTTTGGCGCCGATTCCACAGGGCTGAAGGCACTGTACAAATGTACATGATTGTAGGATGGGATGTTCTCGTCGTAAGGACTGGGTTATTTCACATGGCTTGGACGCACTTTCATTTCAGTGTCAGAAATAGAACAGCATCTGCGGTTTGTGATCTCTAACACTTATCTTTATGCAACGGATGGCAATCTGCACCATTATCCCTATGGGCACTACTACACTGGACCAGAAATTGTCAATCTCAGGCTTTATTGGGACGAAGCACAGTTCATTGAGAACTTT